TTAGATTGTTTAACAAAAGCAAAAAAAGAAATTATAAATCCATCTAATAGTTGTTTTGGTTTCAAAAAAGATTTTAAGAAAATATAGGCAACCAAAAATCATCTTAATACAAACCCGAATATTTTTTAATTAAAAGTTTTTTTTAATTATAATAAAATAATGGACACATCAATTAAATATTTTATATCAATATTAGGTATAATAAAAAAAAAAAAAAAAAAAAAAATATCAATTTTTTTCTTATAGCACAATTTAAGAAACTTATAAACTTAGAAACACAAAACCAATATATTAATAATTCTTAACTTTAAAATTAAGTTATTAAATTAAATATTTAAAAAAAAAAAAACCTTTATTGATATAATTAGATATAAAGAAATGTGGCGATCACTACAAGTTTTACATAGATACAAAACAAATATTAGAAAAAACTGAGTAAAACAATTAGATGTACCTGTAGCATCCATATATTTATTAACAACATATACATTTTAATAAATATACTCGTACTTTATATTAGATGAAAAAATAAATAAATAGATATATTTTTAATTGAACTCTGTGTTTTATTGTTATTCTAATAAGGTAATTTTCAATATTTTTTTTTTTTTTTTTTTATATTTTTTATTTTACGAAACATAGGGTAAGTAATAATAGTAACAATAAGCTAAAGATATTAAGTACTTAAAGAAAAAATGCGTTACCCAAAAAAATTTAGTCTAACTGAAATAAGAAAACCAAAAAATTGGAAAAAATTTTTTTTTATAACATTAAAATTTTTTTTTAAAAAAAAAAATAATTAACGTTAAATCAACAAAATGAGACCATTCAATTGGTAAAAAAATAATAATATTAAATTTTTATCCGACTTTATATTTAAGAAGCGTTTGCAAATAATTTTAACGTCAAACACAAAGTTTTTAAGTTGAAAATCACAGACAAAATTAACACAGAAGCGTTTATAACAACAGAATGGGTGCCCATGGTCTTTTAGATAATTAATTACAGAACTTCGATCAAGACAAACGAATATGGAATAAATGCGATAATAACATTATTAAAAATAATTAAATAGCTTCACTTAGTTTATATTATGGCGAATGCGCTAGGCGATCTTAGAATCTTTTAGATATAATATGAATATACTCTGTCTCTGTTAAAATTAATATATTTTTGATATAAAAATCTGCTATAATTACTTTTAATATAGGGTGTCCCATTTTAAAATCATATATTTCATACGAATAACATTAACAAAATTGACAACTTACAACATTTTTACATTGTTAAAATTAAAAAGCATGTGTGATAATCTTTGAAATAAAAGTGCTATTTAATACACTGCTAATATAGGCAAAAACACAAACATGTTTATACCAATAACTGTAACAATTGAGAGCTTATGACATCCAAATTATGACAACCAAAGACTTTTATTTATTTTACAAAAAAATAAAAAAATATAAATAAGTAGTATAATGTTTGTTTAAAATTTTTTTTTTTATTAAAATGTTGTATGTAAAATAAAATTGTTAAGTTAATTTGTATTATGTTATGACAGATGCGCTAAATTTTAGAATATACAATAATTTTTTTTTTTTATTAATTTTTTTAAGTTACCCTGTATAAAAAATCTTTTGTTGAATAAAATGCGCAACTAAAAATGTCAGTCCACGTGGGCAAGCGTTTTTTACGACATATTCCCATTTACTTATTATCGAATTTGTTCCATTTGGCTGTATTACACCATTACATTATTATTATTATTACAAATATACAAATGGTTTTACCTTATAGCCTCCGTTCAACGAGCTGAAGAAGAGTTTGACAGATGACATATCCTTAAAAATGACAGCAAATACAATTTTACCTGTTAATTAAAATGACAAACACAACTGTCACTGTCAGGGATCCTCTCATTGGATAGACTATATTACACATGACATAAACAATAAATACAAAAATATTTTTTTTTTTTTTGTTTTATTAGGAGTAAATGATATTTTTTGTAAGCACGCTGTATGTCTGACATTACAGGCGAGGCACAAAAGTCATTTTTATCTGAATGAACATACTATTTTTTTCAAATCTGTCACAAATAATTGATGCAATGATTTAAACACAAAGAACGACGCAAATAAATAAATCATTTAGTAGCAAGTAATTATATATCGAGAAACTATGATGACGCTCGTTAAATTTGACACTTAATGCTCAATTAATATATGGTTTTTCGCATTTTTATGCCTAGGCATTAAAATATTTTTTACGTCAATCACGTAGCAAAAATTAATACTTTGTGACGTTTGAAAAAAAACAATGATAAAATTGATCAATAATGAAAAAACATCTGTCCCTAGGCCAGTGGCGCATCTAGAGACTGGATCTGGGAGGAATAATTGCAATATTTAAGTAAACTAGTAGATTTTAATGTACTGCTTAAAAAAGTTTTTTAGTAATCGTGGGAAAAAAATAAACTTGAATTGTAACTATTTTTATTTTATTTATAAATTTCTTTCTAGGATGGGTAATTATTCCCTTTACCACACTCGTATGCACGCAATACGTAACTGAACGAAGTACTGAT